TAGTGGGTTATGAGTTGGGCTGCTAACCACAAGGTCAGCAGTTCGATTCCACCAGCCACTCCTCGGGAGAAAGATAAGGCTTTCTACTTCCATAAAAATGGGTAGACTCAGAAACCCTATGTAGGGGTGCTGTGAGTTGGAACTGACTCAATGATACACAACCATGACCACCACAGACTCTGATCATAGATAGTCTTGGATCCAAATCCTGCCTCTGCCAGGCGCTAGCCAAGTGTAATCCTAAGAAAGTCAAGAACCCAAGGTAATTCTCAAAGCGAAATGAGAATGCTTCCCTTGCAGGTACTACACCTCCCAGGATTCCAAGAATCCACACATGTCACGTGCTTGGCACAGGCCTGGCCCTTAGAAGGCCTCTTCTAATGAGGCAGAAGCAGAAACCGGTCCTCAAGTAGCTCATGGTCTCCAGTGTTGTTGTTAAGTGCCGTAGAGTCAATTCCCACCCATAGCGACCCCGTATAGGGTTTCTGAAGAGCGGCTGGTGAGCTTGAACCACCGACCTGGTGATTCAAACCAACTTTGCAGCCTAGCGCATTAACCCATAGTGTCACACCAGGATTCCAATAGGAAGAATCAAAACACTGCTCACTGCTGAGAAGCCACTTCCTCCACGAAGCCTCCTTGGGATGCCACGGCTCCTCCCTCTTTTGAGCTCCTGGAAACAATTTACCCGCCTGTACCTCATATGGGCTTTAGCTTGAAATGTCAGCTCTGAAACAGACTAACTGTGTGGCATTGGATAGTTAGGTCCGTTCTCAGAGCCTTAGTTTTTCTTAGATCTGTAAAAGGAGATAAAGTCACCTTCGCAGAGGGTGGTGGTGGGACTCAGCCAAGACATAGTCTGCGATGGATCAAAAGGTACGTGATGCTGGGCTGCTGCTGTATGACCTCCCGGTACCCGTTCCCTCGCCTTCCTCCTACTGAGCTCTTTACGGGTCTACACTGCACCGCAGTCTATTTAATTCTAGTTCCCCGAGGGCGTAGGTGAAGGAATGGATGAATAGAGAACAAATGATGGAATAACTGCATGCAGGGTGACCCAGGAGAGAACACAGGTGTGGAATAGCCATTTCCTGGGAGCTTCAACCCCCACCCTTCCACATACACTCTCACCTCTGGACGTTGCATAAGATGGTGTAATCGTATCTCAGCCCCAGGGCCATGTATGTAGGGCGTGTCCTCTGATCCCACACTCCTACCCTGCCTGCATCTAGCTCCCAGGACAGGTCAGAGTCTAAAGTTGGAGCTCTGGTTTGTTTGAGTCTGCCATGAGGGGGAGTCTGTCAACCCCCCTCTCCCTCCCCACCCACGGCATTAGACTGGAGACAGCGTGAGTTTCCAGAGCTATTTGTTGAATCAAATGCTTGTGTTCTGAATGTGAAGAAACCAAGTCTCACATTTGGAATGTATCTACACCCAGCACTTCCTGCTTTGTCCTCAGGGATGCTAACCTGCCCAGCACCCTGTCCTTATAAGGTAGGGAGACAAGGACCCTGCTTCCTCACCTGCCCATGTATGATGTGGGGATAAGCAAGGGGTGTCCTCAAGGCTGTGGGATGCCATGATGGGAGGGGGTTGCTTGGCGTACCTCTGACACGATGGAGTACCTGGTGTTGATGCCGTAGGCCCAGCCGTCCAGACACGGCTCTGTGGCCCCCTGTGTGCCGTTAGGTAGGCTGGCGTTGGGCAGATACACAAAACGGAGGCACCTCTCAGCCTTCCCATCTAGATCCGTGGGGAGCACCCAGGGCCCCGCAGAGGCGTTTGGGGGTGGGAGGCAGTGGTGGTCAGGGGTGGTGGCTGTGAAGATCTGCAGCAGTATGTGGTTTGCTAAGCCCAAGGCTGGGAGGCCGATCAGGCACAGGTGTCGGAACTGGAAAGGGCCGAAGCCACCCAGGCGGTCTAGGAGCTCGGAGAAGGTCATGGTGCCTCGCACAAGGAGCCAGAGCTGTGGGCAAAGTACCAGATTAGGGAGAGGTCTGTGTGCACCTGGGTGTGGGTGCACGGAAGTGTTAGAGTGAGCTCAGGGGTGTGGAGTAGTGTGTGAGGATGTGGACACTTGGCACGTGTGTCCTCAAATTCATGTGTGAATGCACAAGCTGCGGTGTGGGTACCTAACTGCACGTATTACAGTTGTGGGCATAAATGCAGGTTTGTGCACACAGGATGCCTACAAAACTGAAAACAAAACACAACACAATAAAACGCCCCCAAACCCAAAACGAAACCACCCACCCCACTGTGGTTAAGTCATTCAAATTCATGGTGATCCCATGCATTACAGAGCAGAACTGCCTCATGGGGTTTCCACGGCTGTACTTTTTATGGAGGGGTCCTGGCTTGGTGCTGAAGGATAATGCACTGGACTGCAAGGTCAGTTTGAACCAAAAAGTCAGTTGTTCAAATCTAGCAGACTGTACAGGGTTGCTATGAGTTGGAACTGATTCGATGACACTTAACAACAACAACAACAACCCTTTATGAAAGCAGGTCACCACACTTTTCTTCCATGGCACTGCTGGGTAGGTTTGAACTGCCAACCTTTAGGCTGGTGGTGGTGGTGGTGTGCCATGGAGTCGGTTCCAACTCATAGTGACCCTGCATAGGGTTTCCGAGGCTGCAAATCTTTATGGAAGCAGGCTAGTGGTTGAGTACAAACCGTTTGTACTCAACCAGGGACCGTGGGGGAATGTATATGTTTAGGTTGGAACGTAAGGGTACAGCTGTGTGAGTTTGCGTGCGTGTGTGTGCGTACTTGCGGGAGTAAGAATGTGTGTGCTCAGCTAGGCCGATCACACATAAGCATGTGTGCATCACATGTGATTAGCAAAGGCATGGACAAGGTTGCCCAGCCTGAATGTTGGCCATATAGGACGGGATAGAGGGGGTGGGATGGGCCCCAGACAAACACAAAAGGTCAGCAGAACAAAGGCTGCCAGCTGGGACGGGGGTGGTAGGGTCTCTGGGAAAGGCCTCCCCAAGTTCCGAGCCTCCTGGCTTTTGGCTGTTCCCTGAGGCTGGGCCCACCAGGCTGGAGCAGCTGTCCTCCAGAGGGCATGGAGGACTTGGTCAGCTGCATCGAGGAAGCAGGGCCTGACCTGGGGGGGGCTTCCCGAGGGGTTCCTAGGGGCGTGGGCTTGGGGCCTTCGTTCTCACCTGGCTGGACCTGGCTTCGGCGGGGCTGGTGGGCAACGGAGTTGGGGCCCCTGCTCTGTCTCCGTCCGGCGCGGCAGTAGTCAGGCAGTTCAGCTTCAACAAGCTGTGTTTGCGCCTCCCCCAGGGGGGCTGATATAAGCGTAAGCTGTTCCCCAGGCTAATGTTTGACTTTCTTCAGAGGATTAATGCCACCGGCAGAGAGGGCGCTGGAACCCACCAAGCCCAGTGCTCTTCAAAGGGCTGCCTCAGCAAAGGCAGCCTTAGGGGCTGAGCCTAGCAGAGCTGCCAGCTGGACAGACAGATAGACTGGGAGGGGGTCTGGCCTGAGGCCTGAGGCTCAGAGTCCTTCTGAGAAGACGATTGAGGGCATTGGCTGAGAATAACCAATGGAAGAGGCACTGCTGCTGGTAATGGAACTGCACACTCCACCACACCACCTCCCTCCTCCTGGTGCCTCCCCAGAAAGCATCAGCATACCAGTCCTCTAGGACTTAGGGTTGTCATCCCCTGGGCCTGTCTGTCTCTGACCAGGTGATCATGATCCCTTTATCCTCAATCTTAATTTAAAAAATCTTAATTTTTTAATCTGCTGCTTCCTTCTGGAGAGAAGTTTCAGTTCCCACTCCTTTGTTTTTTATCCCTCTGAATATTATTTCAATTATATAAGAATGTGTGTTAGTTGCATTCAATTTAGAAAATACAGACAAGGCAAACCAAACCAAACCAAAGCAAACATCCAGTCTGCCCTGTCAGTGTTGTGATGTGTGTGCTTGCAGCCTTTTCTCCATCAGACTACGGGCTAAACCACAGAGTACAGAACTTGCCCCGGTCCCCAGTGAAGAAGTGGGCAGTGTGGCTCTAAACCCACTTCTGTTTCTGGGAGCCACAGTTTTCTACAAATTTTATGGGGTGCTATCATAATCATAAGGAGCTCTGGTAGCGTAGTGGTTACGAATCGGGCTGCGAACCTTAAGGTCAGCAGTTCGAAACTACCAGCCACTCCGCGGGAGAAAGATGAGGCTTTATACTCTCGTAAAGATTTATAGCCTCGGAAACCCTGAGCAGGGTCACTATGAGTTGGAACCAACTCCACGGTACTTAACAACAACAACAACAACATCATCATACTCTAAGGAGCTCTGGTAGTGTAGTGGTTACAAGTTGGGCTGTTAACCCCAAGGTCAGCAGTTCGAAACTACCAGCTGTTTGCAGAAGAAAGACGAGGCTTTCTGTACCCATATAAGATTTATCGCCTCAGAAACCCTATGCAGGGTCACTATGAGTCGGAACCAACTCCATGCATGGCACACCACCACCACCACTGTATCATACTCTGGGGTCCTGGTGTGGTGCCGTGGTTAACGTGCAGGACTGCAACGTTGGTTTGAACCACAAGGTCTGTGGTTGAAGCGGCTCCTCGGAAACCCTATGCAGGGTCGCTATGGGTCAGAACCGACTTGACGGCATATAACAACAACAACAACAACAATATCATACTCTGGACTTCATGTATGGTGCTGTGGATCAGCACTGGGCTGTTAACCACAAGGTCGGTAGTTCAAATCCTCTAGCTGCTCCTCAGAAACCCTATACAAGGTCGCTATGAGTTGGAATGGACTTGATGGCATTAAAAACAACAATAACATGCTCTCTCCCTTAGTAAGGGAGCACCACGCCAGGACCCCAGAGTATGATATAGTGGTGATGGTGGTGGTGTGCCATGGAGTCGGTTCCGACTCATAGCGACCCTGCATACTGGGCCTTCAGCATCACCTCTGACCCTTTCTGGGGGCTCCCCTTCTTGTTTGGGGCAGGCCTTCCTGTTCTCCTGCTCTGCAATCTCTAGCCCCCAGAGCTCAGACTGGAGTCTATAGTCTCCTCCCATCTTCCCAGGGCAGGGTCAGCTGGTCAACCGGGGTCCTGCCCCTCCCCTCTGCTCCCCACCTGGGCCCAGCAGTAATTGATGTTCTCCACGTGGCCCAAGGCAGGGCAAGATCCGGAGTCATCAAAGGAAGATTAAATTATGCAGTGAGGCAGCCAAGGGGGTGTTTTAGGAAGGTTTTCCACAGTGAGGCTTGCAGAGAGCTGGGATGTGGCTCTGAGCTCCCCTGGTCTGGTCATTCTTTCTTTGCCTGGTTTTCCGGTTCTTAATTGGGCCTGGCTTGGTGGCTCCCATCTTAGTGGAATGCTGTTTAGAGGACCCGGCTTGGTGGCTCCCATCTTAGTGGAATGCTGTTTAGAGGACCCTAGCGATTTCCCATGGAGGCTGCTGGAGGTGAGCCAGAGTATGTAAATATCTATATGTCCAAGCTGCCCAGCCTCCAATGCCTGGGATTGGATTTGGTGATATCTGATTTGACAGGTTCTAATACTCAGGCCCCTAGGAATGGTGGTCGTGTCCTTGTTGTATGACCGTGAGCCTCTCATTTCTCATTAGTTAAATGGCTTTTATAAAGCACCGGAAATTTGTCATTCAAACACTATAATAGGTTCATAAAGTCACCGTGTGAGAGGGTTTCAAAAAGTTCGTGGATAAATGGAACATGGACTGAAAGATAATGTGAAATGTCCATGAACTTTTTGAAGCTCCCTCATATAGTGTGGACAACAGAGGGGGTGCTCTGGCTCAAGTGGGGAGTGGGGTGGGGAGGGGGGTGCAGGAGTGAGTCAGTTCATCCTTCCATGGGCTTCCTCTGACCCAGAAAGCTCCACTGTTTAGGAGCTTTAACGCTTTTCCAACACACTTAAATCCTAAACCCAATCTGTGGAAATTAGCTTTCAATATTTTTCAAAAAAAAGGAAATGATGTTTTTTGGAAATTTTACATGTTCAGTACATTTTATATTTGTAATATAGGAATCGATTCTCTCTCTCTTTCTTTCTATCTTCTGTCTTCTTCCCGTTTTCCCTTCCTGCCTCCTCCTGTCTCTTCTCTCTCTCCTTCCTTTCTTGTTTTCTTTTTAAACTCTTCCAGTGTCTCCTTTAAGCTGGATGCAGTTAATTTCTCTTGTTCTCTGCTGGGTCCCAGCATGGACATGCTTTTTGATCTGGAAGGGTCCAAGGAACAGCCCACGTTCTCAGCTTACACAGGAGGAAACGGATCCCGTGAGGAGAAGGAACACAGATCTGAGTCCCAGCTTCCCTGGCACCTGCACTCAGTAGACAGTCTTCCTAAATCTTAAATTCACTGAGGCGGAAGAGGGGTTGGGAATAAGGGGGAGAGGAAAACCTTATTTTCCAGCAGACCCAGGGGAGTCTGGGTGTTCTGAACAATTAAGGGGAGGTGCTCCCTGAACTTCCTGTGGGCCATCTACTTTTCTATACATTCTCCTGTTCATCCATTTATTCATCCATCCATCCTTTCATTTAATCATCTACCCATCCATCCATCCATCCATTTATTCACCCATCCATCCTTTCATTTAATCATCCATCCATCCATGCATCCATGCACCCATGCATCCATCCATCCATCCTTCCACTTAACCTTTCATCCAGTGTACATCATGGCCTTATTTGAGAACCCATGCTAGGAACTTTGGTGCCCGCTCTACCCTTCAGTCTGTTTGTCTGTCAGAGATTGTTGTTGTAAGGTGCTGTCTCATAGACACCCTATGCACAACAGAAGGAAACACTGCCCGGTCCTACATCAACCTCACAGTTGTTATATTTCAGCCCATTGCTGCTGCTCTTGTATCAATCTTGTTGGTTGGGTGGATGGGTCTTCCTCTGTTTTGCTGACCCTTCAATTTACCAAGTGTGATGTCC